AATTTTGAAAGATAAACCACTTAAATTTTGTTATCTATTTTTCCTTATTCGCAAACCCCAAACCCACTAAGGGGCAACACACAACTATTTTGGCCTTTACTGAGCTCACTAATGTTACGCGCGAATACGTATGTTTATCTAAACAAATAAAATTAATGAAAAAGACCTAACAAAGTCTAATTTTTAATCAAAAGCATCGAACAACCTTTATCCAATGATAAGGATAAGCAAAAGACAATTTCTTACAAGAAGTCTCACTTTGGGCCCATGAGAATTCCCATCTATCGAACAGTCTGTCATCAACGCTCCATCTGACTCGCATCCTATCCACGTGCGGGTCCCATGAGAAATACTCCTACCAGAAAACAACAAAAATTGTAATTTTACTATTTTGCCTTAATTTCAAAAGTGTCTTCTTTTCCAAAAAAAAAAAAAAAAAGTCTTCTTTTAATATTTTTATTAATCAAGAACATTTTATGATATTTGAAAGCTTCATGTTGCTTTCTCACTTTCTATATATAAATAGATAAATGCATATGAATTGTCGAAGTATATAAATACAAAAGATTTTATATTAGAGTCAATTGCCCATGCACAAGTAATTAACACAAATTTTATGGATGTATTAAATGAAAAGTCGTGGTTATGTCATGTTTAGATATTTTCATTCTCTCTTTCGATTTGTTTTCACTCTTTCATTTACTTTCCAATATATATAAAAAATAAAAAAAAAAAGCATAAAGAATACAAATAGAAAAATTCTGTCACTTTACAGTTGAATTGGGGATCAAATAATCAACGCGATAATTAGTAATATAGCACACTTGGTTTATTCATGCACATGAAACTTGATGAAGACTATTTGGTTCATGATTTGCTAAGAATCCACAATAATACATGTTTGATTAGTAATTGTTGTTGTTTTCTACGTCATTTCATAATTTTGAATTTTGATCACCAATTCATAAATGGTGTACCTATGTAACAGCTTTTTTTGTATACTGAAAAGAATTACTTTGAATGTATCTTAATCGTAAATAATACACGATTCTTTTTTGCTAAATAAGCTCGTATAGAGAAATAATGACGTCATAGTATCATACGAGACGTCCGGTTTAAGGACTCTAGTCGTACTTGATTCTCAACTAAATGAAGGATTTTTATGTTGTCAATTCTTAGATTAAGATTAGATAAAAAGATAAGGTTACTGTTGATGACTTTGCTAGCAATTATTGGTAAGAGCACATGATGGTAGGACCTTTACCGACCTTTTTCATCCTTCATTTTTCCTGCCTTATTTTTTCACTCACTTTTAGCCCAAAACGTTATCTTGATTCCTGAAAACCACGACCTTTCTTAGGTAAAAAAATACGAACTCCAAACTCTATAACAGAATAATAAAGAAAAAACAAGCCAAACCATTTAATTCATTATGAAATTATGTTTTATTAATAATTGGTTTTTACTTCTGTTAGTGATATTTTTCTTCATTCGTTAGCAGGATGGTTATAAGTTTGATTCACATAAATGGCGAGTTCAATACAATTTTATTAAAACTAACTTATTTTGATTTTAGCCCAATTTTATAAGGAGTGTTATAGCTCCATCCTCACTTAGAGTTTCCAAGAGGCAAAGAGAGAAAACACAAGCTCTCTCTAGGAGGCTAGCCATATGGGATGGAAGATACTAGCGTCTTCTTCTTGGGATTGGTTATGTTCCAATCGATTCGGTTTTTGTTGAAATCGAAACTGAAACGAAATTACGGTTCAGTTTTTTCCAGTGCAATTCAGTTTTTTTTAAATAAAAATCTGAAAATTGTTTTAAAAAAAATAAATATGGGGTTTAATTTTTCTCTGTATTACTTCTCTCTTGATCCCCACGTCAAAATTAGGGTTTACCCTTTGAACCCCTTTAGCCTCTAGTTAAGTAATCTAATATTAACTAGGAAACCACAAGCTTAAATCTAATACAATCTCTAAATCTTAGCTTATAATTCATAATCCCACAATGGCTACAAAACCTTATCATTCTAGAAGAGTAAAACACCAACAACTAAAACATCTTAATTCATAAGGTCCTTTATATGATTAAAGTGTATCAAACACTCTTTATATTGTGGTCCCTCATTTTGCTCATCTTACCCATCCTTTAGTCATATCTTCCTTTTTTTATAATTACTCTAACGGAGTAACAAAAATATATTTAATTTAAAAGCCTTGTGATGACGACCATGACAAACAGGGCCATGATTTAGAAAGCTGCCATGCGATGGTACCATCCGTAAATACAAACAAGCATACGAGTGCAGAACAACTGGAAGCTCGAAAATCATTTTTTATTTTTAAGCATACTCTAAATAAAATTTTTAGTGTTAATCTTAATTTACTATCCTAAAATTTATTGGTTTTTAACATTTCATACATTTAGGTTTTTTCGTCGCAATTTGATACCTAAAGTTATAATTCTGGAACACTTTCATACATTCATCAAGTTTTTCATCAAAACTTCCATTAACTGAAGAAGTGGTGCTCATGCAGACAATAATTGAATGCTACGTAGCCAACATACAAAACGCCTTCACATTCTCCAGACTTAGCCCCATAGCCCGAGTCATATCCTCGATCACCGAGTCAGCCTGTGCTTTCTAGTTCATCGACTGCTTGATCTTTGCCCTTTTGATGAGTGCATCGTCGTGCTCCTCGTCAGCCAAGCTCTTCTGGCAGAGAAAGGACAGTGCAACGTAAATGGCGTCGAGGGCGATGGTCTTGAATCCATGGGCGCTGAGGGTGAGGGATTTGAGGATGTGGGCGGCGTCCTTGGGGTCGAGTGTGATGGCCTTTTCAACCTCGTCGAGGGTCTGCTGAGAGAGAGAGGTGGAGGAGGAGCGGGAGTCGGCAGATCAGGACTAGGCGAGGAGCTGGGTGCCGTAGACGAAGTGGCGGTTGGCTTGGCACGGTTTTGTTACAAAAGCGGTGCCAGAGTTATGCGAGGAACTTTTGGGGATGTTGTGGATGGAGAGGAAGGCAACAACGACGAGGATGATTAGGCCAGCTTGGAGGAGAATGTCCTTCACGATTCGGGAATGATAGATCGGTGCCGATTCTTCTGTTTACGAATTAATGTATCATAATTGGGATTGAAGGAAATCCATGAGTGGGTGTTTAGGAGTTGGGTTAACTGCTAAGGGAGGACTGGGAGATACGTGGGGGGAGGGGAATTAGGAAGGGTAAGGTAGGGAGGGAAGGGGAAGGCTGAGCTGGAGATCAAAGGGTGAGAGAAAATCAATTTTTTTAATTTTTATTAAATTTTTGATATCTACGTGGGCTCATATTGACACAGTGACGTCCAATCATTGTCTACATAAACATCACTTTATTAGTTAACAGAGATTTTGACGAAAAACTTAACGAATATATGAAAGTATCCTAAAATTATGACTTTAGGTACCAAACTAGAACGAAAAAAGACTTAATGTATGAAATGTTAAAAACCAATAAACTTTAGGGTTGTAAACTAAGATTAACCAATTTTTTGATTACGCATTAGAACATTGACTACCCAATCAATGGAAAAATTTGCCTTTTTGGTGGGTTGTATGAGATTAGGCCTTAGGGAACGATTGGATTGGTAACAATTGGTTAGGCTTTGTAAGACAAGATTTGTAACATTAACTCATGTATAAGGATAGATAATATAACCTACTCTATTATGAATTTATAACGCATCACATCTAGCTCACATTTTGACACAATAAACAATGAACTGAACTCAAGTCCATTTTAACTGTTTCCAACCTATTCTGACCATTCCACCAAACAGGCGGATTGAATTGCTACAAAAAGCGATTGATCATAATATTAGGGGTGTGCTATTCACACATCATTTTTTTACTTCTCACACACCCCTTGTTAATTTATGTCCGTTGATCATCTTCAATTCATCCGATCCGACGACCGAAAATTAAAAAGGTGTGTGAAAAGTAAAAAGAGGTGTGTAGATATCACATCTCTAATATTAAAATTTCGGAGCAATCAATATGACGAGGCATTGTAGCCACACCCTACTATAAGACATAGAATGAGTATTAATTTATCAAATTTCCCAATTGAATATGCTTGCTTTTGTTGAAATGTTTGCAACAATAACTAAATAGTTTAACCAATCATGATTTTATGAACTTTCTTTTAAAGATAATCTTTGAATGAATACAAAAATGTGAGCAGCTTCCATCATGAGATTCAATTGCAACCCCACAAAGTGGTTAGCACCAATTAACTTAGCAGTACTTGAGCCGTTGAGCACATCTGCTTTTGATATTAAGTATAAATTATTAGAGGAAATAATAGTGATGGTTTCTCAATTTTAACTTAGTTGGAGTAATGATCTTTTAATTAAAAATTCATCATTATTCGTCTTTTAAGTCATCAAAACATGCAGTTATGGTTCTTTTCATGAACTCCGTTAGAATTTCCGTTAAAATAAATCACGTACTACGCAGGTGAGGCTGAATCAATAGGTAAGTATAGAAAACCAAATGAGAAAACTTGTAGTAATGGTTTCTCAATTTTAACCCAATTGTATCAGTGGTTCTTCCAACATGACTCATTTTGATGGAATTCTGATAAAGCTGACGAAAATGACTACAGTTGCATGTTGTAATAAGTTAAGTGACCAATGATCATGGATTTTTAGTTTAGGAACCATTGCTCCTATAGAGTTGAAATTGAGAGATCATGGCTACAACTTTCTTAAATTATTATTTTGTGCTACAATTTTATTTACGTTAAAGAGTAAGAGAATAATTATTTTTTAACACATTATTTACGAGATTCGAACTTAATACGATAAAGGTAAAGTTTAGGGATTACATGAAAGAACTTCCGTAAATTAACTAGATCTCTTCCAGTATAAAAGTATGTTAAAGACCATAGAAATTATAAACAACTAATAAGAACAAAAAAAATATTAATCTACCTTTGAATTACTACAAGTATAATAGATTAGATATCAAACATTTAATTTGTTGAATATTTATATCCTGAAATTCTACAATAATACACAAATTAACCACTCCTAATTCAGTCTTTACCAAAAATAATTAAAAAAATAATTAGTTAACTCATAGAGTAGTCGCCAGTAGTCAGTACTTGTAGTCCATTTAACTCGGAAACTCGGCTGAGTTGTCTCAACTCGACCCGCTCCACTGAAAGCCCCGCACCTAATTAACATACAGATTTATCAGCCAACCCAAGCGCGAAGCAACGGCCCAGATTCACCCAAATACTCAAGCTGGTTCAAAGCATCCCCGTGGCAGCGTCTCTGGAGATCCTCCACGTTCAAGAATCGCCCGGAGTTACCAGACTCGGACCGGGCCAGGACCCGAAGAACCTCTTCGAAAAACGACTCGTCGCATGGGATGGCCAAGGGGCCCTTGTTGGCGAAGCCGTACTCCTCCTCGGCCTCTACTAGAAGCTTCTGGAAGATAGGGTGGTTCAGGTACGTCGCGCGCACGATAAACCGCTTGTAGCTGCTTCCCACGCAGACCGCAACGTGTCCTGAGGGGACGTCGGACGGCGCGCGAGCTGCCGTGAGGCGCGCCTTCTTGTGCCAGCGTTGTAGCATTTGACGGATTCTAACAATGCGTCGAAGTTTGTTGCATTTGCTGATCGCCGGCGACATATTGCCGGAAAGAGTTGGAAAGAATGGGAGTTGCTTAAAAGGAGGTAATGGCGATGATGGGGGTACGAGTATTTGTTGGTGGGAGGTTTATATGGGAGGTGGAGAAGTGAAATGGCCCTGGAGTTGGAGATAATTACGGGATTGTGGCTGTTGTTAAAGTTGTTGTCAAGGCCATGTGATGGGTAGAAAGGAAAGTTGATATGATAACATGGGATTAGCGCACTCAAGTCTTCAGTTTACTGATAGATGTGCCACGCCTTTGAGAATCTCACTAGATAAATGCTTGATTGGCTCCTGACATAGGAAAAAATAGACGGAGGCAGATCCCTCCTATTATCATGCCCTTCCTATCTCTTTTTATATTATGCGATTATAGTTAAGTCACGTTAACATTTTATATTAATTTTTGTTAATAAAAATAATAAAATATAAAATAATAAAAATATAAAATATTAACGTGATTTAACCGTGACCGTATAAATACAAGAGAACAAGAAGGGCATCGTAAAAGAAGGGCAGACAATCTGCTTTCAAAATAGACATGCTTGATTTGGGGGAAAGAGTTGCCTACACGGCTCTTGCTGTACGAACTGCGACGATATAGACGTTTGTTATTATTATTAGATGTCGAAACTATATTTTTGTTTTGGACTCTTCTTCACGTATAACAGTGTTAACATTCACCGTAATTATTAAAATTTACACTTTTTGAGGTTATATAGTAGTGGTAAAATTATAGTTAATGATATAGAATGATGTTGTTATCACTTTAATAAAGCTGGTCTTCACGTTATGGACTTCCCATAACACTGTTAATGTGGATAATTTTATTTAGACTTGATTGCATTACACTACTAACGTTGATGGTTATATCATACACACCTTATTACATTATAGAGGTGGACTATTATTAGAGACATCGTGAAGTAATTACACATCATCGTTAGTCACTTACCTCATGAAGTACATTATTCAACGTCAGAATTACAAGAAAGATAAAGTTACACTATAATCGTTAACATTGACGCTCTATGGATACACAATGAAGATAAGGTTAGAGTTTATAACACAAATTGATGCTGTTATTACTGGAATAAGGTTGTTGTGTAACTTGTGGATGTTCTATTACACTTTCAAGATAGGTTATGATACTTGAACGCAATTGGTTTACACTACAAACGTTTACATTTAAGAGTACGGATACCATTTTTGTTTGGTTAAAGGATACCGTAAGCTAACCCAAGAAAAAAAACTAATGTAATTGTGTTAATCCTGATTAAAAAAAAATTATATTATGTTATTGATATAAAATATTTTATAGTGACATGTCTAATGTAAATAAGTCATCCTCGGTCGATTGGCTAAAACGAACGAAAAATGATAGGTGCATGTACTAGTAATGTGTTGCAGGGCACGAGAGAAGAAATAAGTTTGTTTTTGGCGGATTTGGAGTATGTCATTGTCGTGGGCTTGTTCAGCGACCAACAAGCAAATATATGCAACTGGATTTTCTCTAGTTAAGTACAAGAAAAGAACAAAAAACAAAGATGGTATTTTGCAACTACAGATGCAAGATTTTCTCAAGTTTGGTAATGTCTTGCAACTAACAGATGCAATGTGTTTAGGAAGGTTAAAAAAAATATTTTATTGGGTATGGAGTCAAGTAACATGAAGGTGTATTTGAACTTTATATCAAATATATTTATGTCTGGTTTGGTGGTCAAAATTATAGTACTTCAATTAAATTGGACTAGAGTCATGTTTTATATTTGAGAAATTTCTGTTCAATTCTATTGAAATAGATGTGAAATATAAAATCGAACGCATCGTAAATGTATGTTCACAATATAATTTAGTAAAAATAATTCCATCATTAGATTTAAAGTAGGTTTTTAGCCAAAATGGTCACTGAGATTAGTATAACTCCTCAATTTGGTTCTTGAGATTTGAAATCGATAGAAGTTGTCCGTGAGTTTGTCCACCGTCAATCCTCTTGGTTATTTCGTGAAAAATCTCCATTAAATAAGGACCATAATGACAAAAATACCAAATTTAATGAATTTTAAATTCAGTGATCAATCCTCCAATTAAGTCATAGTGGAGGGACTGTTGATTCAATTTTCTCAATTTAGTAGACAATTGTTGGTATTTTTAAATCCTACCAATTTATAAGCTTGACAATTTTGTTTTGTATCCTCCTGCCCATGTTTATGTAATGATATGATCCGATTATATTCTCTGTGTCGAGGAAATAGAACATGTTTACAATTAATGAAGTGCATGCTAATCATTTCCAAGTGAAAAACTAAAAACTGAAAATCAATTATTCAATAAATATTATTTATGTTGATAAATGTGTGTAGGATTTTGTGCTGCGAAATACCATGTGCATGATGAAATAAATAAACCCACAAAATAATATAATAAGATACCAATTAATTATTCAAGTTAGTTTTGGCAACTTAATTATTAGGAGGAGGAGGAGCATGACATGAGACATCGGTCTTAACTTGTAATGTTAGCTGATCAACAAACAGGCTCTGATCAACAAGATTTTCTCCCAAACAAAATTCAACACACAATTGTTTATGCATGCATGGCATCAATTAAATATTTTAATGCAAAAATACCTGCTACGTACATCGAAAGTTATAAACCCTTCGTCTCTCCCCTTGAATTTGCAGTGCCTCAGTGCTACAAGTGCAAAGACAAACACTAAATTAAAGACCATTTCCTGATTAGCCATTTCTTTTTACATTATTATATTTGATATGATTCGATTAGAAAGCTAACTGTTTTGTGTTTGCAGTTGAATGGACCACATGGTATCAAAATTTTATATGCACATACTCATTGAGTAGGGCACAAGTAGGAAGTAAGTTATAGCTAATACTCATTTCACCACACATTCAATTTTGGAATATTGAAAATCAAGGTTAGATCAATTGATCACAACAGTATAGCCGCTCTTTTTTTTTTTTTTGCACTCAAATTTATATAGATATTTTTTCGTAAATTAGTGTAGTTTAAATTAATAGAGCCTTGTACAAACTCATACCTTATTTTTAAACATTGCAATATTATGTATCAACTTACAAATTCGTTGAAATGTCATACACGTTTCCTTCTCTATCAATTTGTCTATTAACTGATGACATGGATAGGGATAGTGAGTGGCCCACTCCCTTGCCTTCTAGAACTCCATGTTGCTGACATTTCCACGGTGGAGTGCGGCTAATCCCATTCGCTAAACATATCCAAAGTATCCTTTTTGTCCACCTACCATCCTTGTCTTCTCATGATTGTTCGCCACGTGGCTCCCTCATTCGCTTTCATCTCCAGCTATTTTCCCTTCCTATTTTTCCTCCCCTAGAAAATCTAAAAAACCCTAAAGAATTTCAGAGCAAAAAAAAAAAAAAAAAAACTTGAAACTTGATCCTTTTTTAATTTTTGAGTTTTGCATAAAAATGTGGAGGTTTCTGAAGCGCGATTGAAAGAGGAGGTGTTTGAGAATGCGCTTCTGAATTTGCAGACGAAGTGGGAGATGCAGGCGTTGAGAAGGCAGGAAGCAGGAGGAGAAAAAAAAAGGCAGGACAAAATGATTCCTAAGTGGAAGACCAATCGAGAGAACGAAGATGAATGTGAAGGTGAATATGAATTTGAGCAACAAATTGAGCTGCGCTACCCGGTTCAACAACTGGGTTAGTACCCATACCCGCCGCTCCAGTTCGTTCCATACGGTATCGTTTGGTATGCAGACGGGACGGGACGGGATAAGACGGAACGGAACGGAGCGGGAGCAAAGATGCCCTTGGATGGAAACAAGGAGGAAGAAGAAGGAGACGGAGATGTTATAATTTTGTGTTCCACAGATGTGGAACGAGTCGTCCCAGAAGGGTGAGATGAAATGAAAATTCACCCAAAACTCGTCCCGTGGAACAGCTCGTTCCACCCATTTAAGGCGCACCAAACGTGGGACGGAACGCCTTGTCCCACTCTGTTCCGTCCCGTCCCACGTACCAAACGGTACCTACATGAATGGGTCATCGTATCTCCATGCTATTGTTAAGCTTGGTAGCGCATCTCCGTTGTCCCTTGCTCAAATTCAAAGTCACATTCACATTCGTCTTCGTTCTCTCTTTCTTCATCGTCGGCTACTCCTCCACCTGGGAATCATTTCGCCACAAGCTTTCCTTCTCCTCCCGCTTTCTCTTCGCTTCCTGCCTTCTCAATGCTTCCATCTCCCATTTCATCTGTGGATACGGGGGATATTTTGGATATATTTAGGGTTCGTTTACTAATCCGTAATCAAAATAGGTGGAATTGGATTAAAGGGGAATTGAATTGAAAAGGAATTGAATTGAGGAGAATTGAAATCCAGATTTCCATTAAAGCTATTTACTATAATTTTCTGAAATCGGAGTATAAATGCTCTTGTTTAAATATAAATTGTTTACTAATTTACTTGAATCGGAATGAAAATTTGTATGATTACTAAAATGCCCTTGATCATAAATAAATGTTTTATAAGAACTTATAGGAAATCAGGTTAATTGATATAATATTAAAAATAAAAAACTAACCAACCAAACCCCAACCCAACCGTTCTCTCTATCTCTGCCTCAATCATCTTTCAACAATTTGAAATTCACGATGGGTTTGAGGCCTATGGGAAGTGCTGGTTGTGATGATGTAGTTTCTTTGAAGTTTAGTTTACGGGGTATTTCATGTTGATTTGAATGTGAGGAGTTTGGCTTTTAGCATTGTGTTAAAAAGAAATAACTAAAATGGGTTCTTTTTCAGCTTTCGCTTGATCTTGTTTTCTGGTTGTCGTTGTTGTCTAGGAAGATGATGGTGGGTATGTGGCATTGGGAAGACAGGAAAAGGGCGATAGTGAGGGAGAAGGAGACAGACTAGCGTTGGGCATGGGTGCTGGTTTTATCATTGGAATTTCAGCAATTATGTGAGGGCATTATGGGTATGAAAAAGGGATTCCCCATTCCCTCATTCTTCTGGAACTCAAATACCACTTACTATCAAGGGATCCAATTCCTCCAAAGTGAGGAATTGAATTCCAAACTTTGTGTGGGTCCCACCATAATTTTGATTCCTTAAAATTTAGTAAACACATGAGTGATCCGTAATCGGAATATGATTCCATGTTTTGATTCCCATTACGTGTACGTAAATGTGCTCTTAGCGTATGGGATTAGCCACACTTTACCGTGGATATGTCAACAGTGTGGAGTTCAATGGGCGATGGAGTGGGCTCCGCGCTTACCATGCCTGCAGTTGACAAATAAATTGACAGGCTAAGAAACAAGTTCTGACATTGCAACAAATTTATAAGTTGAAGTATGATATTGTAATGTTCAAAAGATGAGGTATGAGTTTATTATGTGATCCAAAATTGAGGTGATAAAATACAACTTTATTTACACTTTAAAAATCCTCAATGACTGCTAGTTTTTAGGTACTTTTGCTAAACAATTTATTCGGCCCAGTTACAAAAGCTACCAGGCCGAATGGAAAATTTGAACAGAACAATGACATTCTACTATTAACAAAAATGTTATATCATCTTGCTCATTCATGTAGGTCAAATTTGAAACTTCTCTTTTGCAGGTGAAAGTGCTAGTTAGTATCCATTGTTTTGTTTATAAAACTAAATGAGGAGGAATTTTGGAAAAGACACACAATTTATCAATCATAATTATCAAATGTGTCATCCATTGTAGTCAAATTTAAGACATTCAACTTGTATATAAGTAAAGAGAAATATTATTAAATTGTAACACACGTGCAATAATAAGAATTTAAGAGCAACAAAATGCACAGACAATAATAACGTAATATCAAACTCATTATTCATAGAAATCAACCTTAAACCCTTGTTATCACTTAATACTGTAATTTAGTGATATTCTCCTTCAATTATAAGTGAGAGGCATTGAATTAGATTATTGTTAAAGGAAAATTCGAACCAGATTATTACCTATGAATGAAATATTTAAGCCTGGATTTAAAACACCGGACATTGTCCTGTCCCACAAATTATCTTCCCCCTCTGGAAAAAAAAAAAAAAAAATCGTGCCTCTTGCTCTTGCCTGCTGCAACTTTGCAATCCCTCGCTCTCAACTCAAGGCAAATTCTTCAAAGTAAGAATTCAACACAAACAGTAAAATAAAATCCAAAGAGGCGAAGAACTGGGATAGAATACAACTATCAACAATGCCAAACTTGGTCCTCCACCACCCACTACCACTCACCCCCTTTCTTTCCCACCTTCCATCATCATCATCAAGCTTTCGAATTCGGAACCAGAAATTATCGGCCTCGCTTCCCCCAAAAAATCCTGCGGTTGTACTCCGTTGGCGGCCCAACACCATCAGGTGCATGGCGAACCCGCGCAGAGTGGCAATGGTGGCCAAGCAGATAAGGAGGGAGCTGTCTGACATGCTCATAACTGATAAGGTCTTGCAGTACGCTATTCTTCCTGAGGTTTCTTTGGGTGCTGATCGTTTCCTCTCGTCGCTAACCACCATAAGCGATGTTGAAGTCTCCACCGACTTGCAGGTACATAGTTACTTGCATATGTAATTACGTATGCTTTCTTTTTATTTTGATTCTGATATTTTGACCAAACTTGGTGTTTTTTGTTCGATTTGTAGTGTTGGGTTTTGTGGGTTTGCTATCTTGTTTGGCATTTCATTCTTAGTAAACTTCTGTAGCATATTTGACACTTCGTGGGTGCAAATTATATGACTTCTTGTTTTGGTTGTCTCTGAGAGTAGCTTCCTTCAATGTTTCCGCGAAGATGGCAATGTTCATCATTTGACGAATCTTGTGGCGCTAAAATTTTAGTAAACTATAGTTTATATGTTTGCCTACAGGTGGTTAAAGTGTATGTTTCTATTTTTGGCGATGAGAGAGGGAAGGAGGTTGCCCTTGCTGGGCTAAAGTCAAAAGCCAAATATATCCGAGGTCAATTGGGAAGGCGTATGAAGCTGCGGTTGACTCCTGAGATACGCTTCATAGAAGATGAGTCATTAGAGAGAGGAAGCAGGGTAAACTTAATACCATACTATTTCATATGATTATCTGTATAACTGGGGAAAGCAATACAATTGGTTTCTCTTGCACTTTCTTCCAACTTTTTCCAGTAAGAGTAATGAGAGTACTTAAGTCGTTTTTGTATTAATTGAGGTAAAGATAAGATATAAGTTGGTAAAAGTAAAGCCAATTGTGATTGCTCATAGAGGTTGACAAGACTTGGTTATCAAGGTTTGATTTGTGTACTTGTAAAATTGCTTTTGAGGTGGGTGTCAATATATGCTAATATGTCAATGGTGAACCATTTCAGGTGATTGCAATATTAGATAAGATAAAGAATGAAAGGAAAGATGAGGAAATTCAAGATGAGGAACAATTGGAATCATCCGAGGCACCTGAGGATGACGGAGATTGGGAGGCTGATGACCCTGATGAAGACATTATATACATAAAATAGTTACTCTCCCTAGTTCCTGAGCATTATGCTATTTTGATTGAAGCTTGGCTTCGCTTGTCTACAGGTTTGTTTCATTTTCTTCACTTTCTTTGTATATACCGTTTACAAATATATGTATGTTTTAATTGTTTCTTCCATTTGCTGAAATTGGACACAAACATAATTTAATGAAGCGGACTACCTGCAATTTGGTTTGACAATGCTTGGTCTATTTAGGTGCAATCAATGAGTTGTTGGAATCAACTTTAGGAAGGTTTAGTATTGTGTTTGTGTATTTGATTAGAATTTAGATGATGTCAGGATTAAAACTAGCGTACTATGATTGAATTAGGAGTTTTGGTACGGACATACAGAGTGGCCAACTTTAAGGTACAAGGTTTGATCTCTGAACACGTCCCACTCCAGAGGGTTTGTTGTGGGAGTTGGGACTGCCTGTGATGGTACAATATCGTGCACGTTTAATAAACTTTATTATGCTCAGAAGAAGGGTATAATGTTTCATTTACTTTACTTTCTGTGACGCAGGCAAGCACGATAAGTCACAACGCTAACCTAGACAGAAAAACTCTTCACGGCTGGAGCCCCATCGTTTGAATTACGAGCTTCAACCATGGCACGCCTTGTAAAATTACCTATAATGTTTCCATTCTTTTCTTCAGGTATGCTTTTGATTTGCTTTTTGTTTTGGTCATCTAAAACCGGAAGCAGAAATTGTGGTATTTATAGTGCTAGATGGTTCACGAAGTTGACAATCCACATGATGTGAATGGAATTCTCTTATAAACATGTCTGCCTTTGTGATATTCTGATGTGTCTGTTACCGATATCACCTACTAGTTACTGATGCTTGTGGTCAATAAGATGCCGCAGCACTAGCTCGTATTCTCGTCCAGTGGTCAGTTTAACGGGACACAACTGAAAATTTATCATAAGCACGTCGACGAGCCTTGGACTCTATTTACCCCATGCTGGGAATTAATAATGTATGATTTGCAAAAGAAGTAGTCTGTGTTGAGCATCCACGGGGTTTGGATTTAAAAGCTTAGGATGATGTATGATGTTACAAGAGCAGAGACAAGGATGAAATATGAATAAATGGAGTTTCGAGAGCTGCGAAACTAAATCTACCCCTACTCTCGAGAAACTTGTCTCCCTCTGTGAAAGTCTTTCTCTCCTCCCCCGTGAGAACCTTTTCAGCCTGTGTGCTGAGCCTTCTTCAGACTTCATCTCCTCCGCCGCCGGCCCTTGCCATGGCCTGCGTCGGTGGCTCTCGGGTTTAGTTCTCCCTGCAATGTTTCTGCTGATCGTCACCAATATGTGCTTTAATTTTCCAAATCCTATGCCATCAATTCCAATTTCTTTTCACCATCTTTCCCATCCTCCACCTCCTAGGCTTTCCTCTACCTATTTGGTTTCGGATTTGTAGCTACTTTCCTTAAACGCGTTTTGTCCCAATTTTTTAAGGATGTGCGTAGAGCTCCGGTGCAGGTGATCTCACCACCACCTCTCATGGATCGGGAAGTGCATTTTGCTCCGGTTCGGGTGTTTATACCACCACCTCCCATGGATTTGTCTTCGACGAGTTTTTTGCCTTCGATGACTATGTTGCTGATGAGTTCTCTCACAAGCTTGCTGTGTTTCGCTACAGATCTGTCATCTATGGTGCTTTGTGAAGGTTGTTGGAGTCGTCTTTCCATCATTTTTGTGGAATTGTTTGGCTGGATTTTTTACGCCTGTTGGACGAACGTTCTTCAACGATGCATCGGCGGCGGTTGCAAGGAAGATAAGGTTTTGTGTTTCTGTTGTTGTTTCTGGGCTCAAACTTTTGGTTTGGGCTTGTTTCGGGGGTCCATATTTTCTTTTAGGCTTTTCTTGTAATTAGACCTCAACTGTTGTAAATTTTAATGTGGTTCGGCAACAAATCTTCCGCTTTTACCAAAAATAAGAAGAAGTAAATCTACCCCTTTAGCGATATAGTCACACCACTATGTCTTGTGATGACGGGATATTACAAGTTTATGCGAATTTTAACACACCTGCAATCGCTAACGTAAATTCCAAACTCAAGTCATTATAATTGAGTGGACGTGTAGCATGACATCAAGTTGTAATGCCCTATATAAATGTGTCTACAAAGACATTCAACGAAAGTTGGAGCAAGCAATTTTACTGTCTTCTATGATGAATTTCAGCTTCCAATGACTGGTACAACCTTATTTTTGAGCCTTCGGTCTGTCTCACTAGAAGTGAATCTATGGGCATTTGGTACGTAGAATTGGATTAGAATGAAATAATTTTAATTTCAATGTATGTTTGAGGTGAGAAATGAAAAAATTATGACCATTACTTATAAAATAAGGGAAGTGTTACTGGTACTTCAAAAATCTCATTCTACACTTCTCTCAAGTGTATTTTTCTTTCTAAATATAAAAAATTTGGAGTGCCAATAACAAATCCTTAAAAATAAGACTTATTTTTTGTGATGCCGCTAAAACTTGACTTCAATCTCACTCTCCCCTGCAACTCAAATTTCGCCACTTACCATTCTAATACTCAATTTTTGTCTCTACTCTGCAATTTTCCTTCAATATTGTTAAAAAAATCTTTTTATTTTATTTTATTATTATTATTATTATTATTATTTTTTCAATTTTTATACAAATGATAGTCTGTTAGATGGTTAAATTACAAAGGGAAGAGATATCGGTAAAATTCGAACCCACACGAGAGTGCATAGACATTATTACTTTCTAGCATTGTGGTTAAACGCCATTTGCTAAAAAATAAAAGGGAATTGTTATTAGCATTCCAACAATCTCATTTCGCACTCCAAACTTTCTATAATTAGAAAGAAAAATACACTTATGAGAAGTGCAGAATGTGATTTTTATAATGCTAATAACAATTCCCAGATAATATTAAAAACTTAGAGAAACAAAGGGAAGAAGCTTGATTTTGCTTTCAAAGCTGCCTAAAGGTTTACCACCCTCCCCCATATCGCTTGTGAAGTAATTTGTCTACTAACCGAACTATTCAATATCATAATATGAACAAATATTATTAATGCATATATTTTTGGTGGTTCTGAATAATGTACGTGATGAAATTGAGCCTTAGGCAAATACCACACAAGCTTTTCAACCTCAAATGGAAGCATAATTCCAATTTCCCCACAAATCCTTACTTGACATTTTCCATTGCTCTCAAGGGCATTGGTTGGTATGTAAGATCAGATTAGAACGGATAACTCTTCAATTTAAAGGTCTGTTGAGGGAGAATAAAAACGTTATGTCTAACTAGAGGGTAGAATACGATTACTCATGAAGGACACTTATCAATCCCAATCCTTTCCTAAATGGTAGGACTAGAAGGTATGAGTTTTCTTCACGTATAATTCTCTTCTAATCCCCGCCAACTGAAAAATTATTCACTTCTACCTTCAACATATCAAACGAGCCGAACATCTCCAGGTTTTATGTCCACACTATGACATGCAATGCAACATAGGCGCATGAGTACTGTATCTCAGTCACCCAGTTATCCATATCATGCAACAGGCTGACATCAAACGATAATTAACCATTATAACAAAATCACCTAATAGCGAAATTGAAGACTGAAAACGATAAGCATCTTATTCATCACGGGAGCATTACCCTCAAAATGTTCGCTATGAAATGGAAATCTAAATCATCCTAATTACCAAATTCATAATTCTCAATTCAAAAAAAAAAAAAAAAACCTGGAACTTACGTAAAGTTTTCATGGTGCAGAAAAGCTTTAAGAATCAAAATATTGGTACAGTCCACCCTTTCGTATTATTTCTATCTGAAAACCAACTCATTTTTCATTCACAACTTCTGATAAAAACACATCTCCTTCAGTGATGAGCCTTTGCCGCAGCCTTTTGTTCAGATTTAGCCTTTGCCTTAGTGGGGAGAAAAAAAGAAAGGAAATAAGTACTCGTGCACAAATAAAACGACATGGTGTAAGCAATCCAACAAACAGGCACAAGACTGTCACACAACTCAAACAGCATAACACATAATTTCACATTGCATTGTATGCTAGCATCAACTTTGGGTTGAACAGCTTAAAAATTTAAATAAAGGGGACAGCTTCAGGTGACATTTCCCATTCCATTAGTTAGCCCTAGTTGGTCAAATACCAGACCCGTATCCTTATAATGTCTTGACATGTTAAACAAAAAAGTTGATAGTTATAACATATATACACATTTAGTTGTGGTGAAGCTTTGATTGGTCATTATCACAACGAAGTATATTATGGTAAATTGATAGGTGGTTAAAAATGTTAACCCTATGACTACTTTCATTCTCCATTTCCAGTTTCGGAAACTGGAGCAACCCCAGTTCCTTTCTAGGACACTGCTGCTAGACTTCCTTTCACATTTGAAGATAAATCTCAGCTTTGCCCCTAACTTCAGTCAATTAATTATCAACTTAAAATCCAGCAATTCACAAAGGGTTATTTCTCTCTCACATTTACTCAAGCATAGTTTTGGACATTGTGCTTATTTATATGACAAGAAGTTATCAACACATTGACAAATGGTTAGCAAATATTTAGCTAAAACCCTCCCTTTCTCACAAAACTCTATGCAGCCTCGTCATTTTTCTTTTTCCCTTCACACTTGTAATTGTTTCTCTAAAACATATGCTACTAGTCACATTTGCATTGACTAATTCTGCTGTCAAATCACACCGTGCATTTAAGATTTGAGTTTTGATAGTGAGTTTGTGTAAGTCGTGTTTGTGGGTTGGCAGTTAAACCACTAAGAAGCTATAGTGAAGACATTGGATTGGTTGCATGCAGCTTGAGTTAAGATTTAATAGCCCAACCTAGAAGTCTTCATGATGTGAGAAGTCCTTCAAACGCATTTATTTATTTCAATGGATGACTTGATGCTAGAAACGAAGCTGCAGTTGGAATATTTAAGTTTACTTCTAGAATTTTCCATGCACAATGTGCATACCTTTCTTTCTTAGACACACTTCCAATTGAATTCTTTCATCTTAACATAGTGGGCTGCATTATTTTGCTTGACCATTGCTATAAAGACTCAGGCTTTTTACAAGCATAGCCAATAATCTAGGCATTGACATTATTTCTTATTTGTAGAGCCCCTCTAAAACATCCTTATACACCAATATCTGTTATATGCGTTTTGCAGTTTTGTTGAGGGAAAGTTAACACTTCCATCCAAGCTTTACGATAGAAAGCATACTTGGAGGTGAAGAAGAGTTCATTGCTTGCATACAGCCAAATTAATAGACCAAATTTAGAGCCTAGTTCTATTTCCAAATTGTTCACATGATCACATAATTGCAACATGCTCGGATTGACAAGTGGTCGAATGCCCCTACAACTAAGCAATCACATACGTAAATCAACCCTAACTGAAAAGGAGAGGACTACAGAAAAATAAAAACTCATCACGAAAACATCACCAAAAAGGGATAAAATAAAGAATAATAGAAGACAACATATGTACCTTGTACAAGTTAAACAAACTATTTCTCGATTATTACTACTCTTGGAGCCAAGAAGTCAGATTTCAGCTACGCATGCCTCTGGCACTACTGAATTTTTTGATGTTTGGTGTTACCTTAGACTCCACCAATCATTTAAAACATCAAGTATGATTTAAGCATTAATTAACAATCTCTCCTATTTCAAGCAACCTTATTCATAAGATAGAAGAGTTCCATACCTAATTTGCTACTTCACAAATTTTAAGACAAGGTTGACGTCTACGATATGAGCTCACCAAATGGTGCTTATACTCTTCCATGAATACAAAGAAAATACACGAATTCTTCGTATGAAAATGGAACCAAACGAATAGAAAAAATTAATCTTTGGAATCGATTTGACCAACATCGATTAAAATCCGCATTACTTATTAAAATCTACAAAAATTTAAACAAACCCAATACAAATTTGTAATAAAATGTACAAAATTAACTCATAAAATAAAAAAGTGCGTCAATTGAAAAAAGAAAAAGAAAAAGGAAAGGAGGTACCTGGAGATACTTGAGCTTAATGCTTCCGTATACGAGTCCAAAGGAGAATGCGGAAGCCCGAGCCACCTGCAAATCACCAAGAACCCAGATAACCAATTAGATTAACAACTACCAAATTGGTCCAAAATCCATACGCTAAATTTTTTATTTCCCAAAATATAAACTAATTAAAAAAAAAAAAGTTAGATCCGGAATGAAAAGAGAAGAAAAAAAAAAGAGAAAATTTAAGAGAAATTAATACCAAGGCGAGGGTGCTGGTTCCAGAATAGGTCCAGGAGGCGGCGCCATTGTTGTTGCTGGAGAGGACGAGACTGACTCTTAAGCAATTAGACGAAGCGAACAAGAAGGAATCTGTAAAACCTCCCAAAGTCACAAAGCACCAAGCCCTTCTACTACAGTTCAGCGTTCCGTTGCTTTATATATCGAGTAATTGCGGACCTGGATTATCTACCCCGTTTGGGCTTTCTACCTGATTTTACCGGGTTTAAATCCTGATCGTACATCACTGTGGAAAAGTATGCGGTCGTTGTCGTACGTCCACTTGTTCCATATGGTTGGGCCCGCTATTTGTACAGTCAACCAATAAAACATGGTTTATTATCGCTCACCACCATGCTTACCACCTTACTTATTACAAAATTTAGAGTCACACAATAATAATAAATAGAGCAATGATCATTACCATCACTTTAGGGAAGTGAGCAACTATATTCTATATAAAACACCAACATGTTGTCTTATCTTTAGGAATAGAGTTACTTACCTACTTTTTAGAAGGGAATATTTTTGGTCGTACCACTCAAGTGATAGTGATACTCACCGTCCTATTTATCACCGGTAAATGAGTTTAAATTTCGAAATATGTGTAGTGGATAGACACAAATTTCAAAATTTAAACTCATCCAAAAATGGTAAATAGAGTGGTGAGCAAAA